TCATCTCCAAGAAGGTTATCACCAGGCTGTGGGAGATAGACTGTGGGAGAAGTGGGATTGGAGAGAGGCAGTAGTAGTCTGGGTCAGGGAGGGTCTCCATGTCTCCTGAGAGTTAACTGAATGACATGGTAAGACTTGCATTCTGTCCAGGTTCCAATGATCTTTACCTACAGCGAGCTCTGCAGACCTGGAGACAGGGACTCCTACTGACCTCTGTATTAACTAGAAAGACTCAGCAGGTTGCTCACTTCTTTCTTTTCTGGTTCCATGCTGGTATGATCAAACTAACTCACCTAGTAGCAAAGGGAGGAATTTAGGTAATCTGGGGCCCCACCATGCAGACATGCAGTCCAAGAACAAAGAGTGCTTTCTATCTAGAAAAATAGTCAGGAGACATTCCTCCTCTGAAGGAACAGCCTGCACATTCCCTTCCTTGCTATGCGTTCTTAGAAAGTGAAATTCTGCACATAGGGCCATTCTGATGGGCCAGGGGCATGCTGGGAATTGAGAGGCTCCTGGCCTCCCCCAAATTAGCCGGAGTCTTAAGCCATCGTCCACAGGAGAGAACTGTGATATTGCCTATTAGCCTCCTCCTGAGCCCAGAGGTTGGTCCAGTCATCGTCTCTCTGCTCCTTAGCTCTGGCTTTGCCAGAGATGAGAGTCTGCTAGAATGTGGGACTCCTGACCGGGCTGGTAAATACTTCAGTCCTGGGGATCTTGGCTTCTATGCAACATATACAAGAAGGGCTCTGGAGTCAGCTCGTCCCTTTCTGGGTTGTCTCCATTTTCAGTCTGTCTTGAGCTTTGTGATTCCAAGTTGTCCCTAGCTCCACGAGGCTACCTATTTAGTTGGTATCTAATGAGAAATGGGCAATAATTTCTTTCTCAGGTCCGCTAGCAACAGCTTCATAACGCACTACTGTCTTTCACCAGGTTCTGCGCCCATTTCTGAGCTCACCATTGCCGCGATGGCGGAAGGAACTGATGAGCATGCGGCTGGGTTTCCTGCTCCATTGTTAAACTATGGCTAGTGTCTTGGGTGCTTTCCTGGCTGCCGTGACAAAATGCCCGACTAAAGTACCTTTGCAGACCATGGTTATTGACCTCCGACTCATCGTCGGAGGGTGCTGGCCTCCACGCTGGGGAAGGCAGCAAGAGCAAGAGCAGCTCTAGCTGTGGCGGAGGATGGTGAGGCATGGCCACACCTCACCCACAGTCAGGGAGCAGAGACTGATGAACGCTGCTGCTCAGTCCGCTGCCTCTGTTTTTTTCCCCTATTTATCCAGTTCAGGACCTCAGCCCACAGAATGGTCCCGCCCACAGTCAGGGTGGGTCTTCCTTCCTCGGTTCATCCTCTCTGAAACCATCCTTCCAGGTAATTCTAAACCAAGCTGACAATGAAGTTGAACCGTCTCAGACAGCTCCTTCCGCCATCGTGGCAATGGTGGGCTCAGAAATGGTGAAAGACAGTAGTGCGTTATGAGGCTTTTGCTCGCGGTCCTGAGAAAGACATAATTGCCCATTTCTCATTAGACGCCAACTAAATAGGTAGCCTCATGGAGCTAGGGACAGCTTAGAATCACAAAGCTCAAGGCCGACTGAAAATGGAGACAACCCGGAAAGGGACGAGCTGACTCCAGAGCCCTTCTTGTATATGTTGCATGGGAGCCAAGATCCCCAGGATTGATGTGTTGACCAGCCCGGTCAGGAGTCCCACATTGGAGCCACAGGCTGGAGACTGGGTAGGGAATGGAGTTGTGTTTATCTGCCCGTTAACAGAAACCGGCGACAGAAGGAAGTAAAGTCAGATGGTAGGGGCCTCGTGGAGCATGGTGGCACACACTTGTAATCCTGGCACTTGGGAGGTAGAAGCAGGAGAATCAGTTGAAGGCCACCCTCAGCCACATAGCAAGTTTGAGACCAGCCCAAACTACATGGGATTCTACTTCAAAAAAATGTGAAAAAGACAGCAGGGTTCTAATTGTAATCTACAGCAACCCAAGGCAAGTGAAGTTTGGGGCTGGGGAGGAAGGAATTGGTGGAATGAATAGCTGAACAGACTTGGAGACAGCTTCTGAATCCTGGGGGATCTTTGCAAGTGACTCCATGATAAAACTGGAGGTTGTGTTGGTTGTAACTACTGCCTTTGCCTGTCTTACTCTGGAATATTTTAAATGAACTACCCCAGTAACTGGGCTAAGCCAATCATGATGTCTAAGCAATCAAAGCAGAACAATGTCAGCTCTTGGTGACATTGTTCAGCACTCGTAGCATACAGTCCTGGAGACACCTTACCTCAGGTCAGGGGAGACTCTGTTATTACCATGTACGTTGCTTCTTTTCTAAGTTCCAATTCTGATTTGATTTATCTCTCTGTGTGTATGTGTGTGTGCACATGCATGTATGTGTGTATGAGTGCTGGTGTCTGAGGATGCCCTGGAACTGGAGTTGGAGGCAGTTGTAACATAACATGGCTGCTGGGAACAGAACTCTGGTCCTCTGCAAGAACAGCGACCTTTCTTAAATGTGGAATCATCTCTCTACCCCTTATTTGTTTTTTTTTTTCAAAATGAATTTCTTTCTTTTTAAATTTTATTGTGTTCATGGTTTTGGCTCAGGGCCTGTTACTTTGTCTCAAAGAACCCAGATTGTTACAGACTCAAACACCTTCAGATTCTGCGTTTACTTTGGTTTTCTCTATATAGCTTCACACCACTAAGGGTTTGCAAGTGGAAGATGCCCTATCTTTAATGGCTCTAAAAGTCACAGGGAATGGCTTAATTGATCTACTATGAATAGCTTATTTGCTTAAGGCCATGCTATGTTCTGAATTAGCTATGGGCTAATTATCTCTTCTCTTGGATTAAACAGCCAGGGGACAGTGTTGACAGAGGAAGGGAATAAACATTGCTCCTGGCAGTGTGTGTGTGTGTGTGTGTGTGTGTGTGTGTGTGTGTGTGTGTCCTCTTTGCATCTTTGCTTACTACTATAATGCCTTTTGAAATAAAGTCCTTAGCTCTGGCCACCTTGAAGGCCTCAAGGAGTCCAGCACACGTCCCACAGGTGACCCCACCCATCCCACTGAACCCAGTCCCCTCAACCCAAGGACCATGCAGAACCACATACCCCCTATAGGCCTCTTGGACTAACTAAGAGCTTACTCAAGTGGACATGGAGAGCCGCACCAGAGGGCAGCAGAGAAGAGGACCATCGAGGGTTGTACTGACCCTTGGATAGTGTCTGTCTATATAAATAGCAGTTTCAAAAGACTAGGGGCAGGGCTTGTAGCCCTCAATACAATTTTCACCAAAGAAAACAAGGTCCTACCCCCCCCCTTTTTTTTTAAGTTGTCTTTTTAAAGATTTATTTATTATATATACAGTGTTCTGCCTGCACGACCAGAAGAGGGTGCCAGATCTCATTACAGATGGTTTCGAGCCACCATGTGGTTGCTGGGAATTGAACTCAGAACCTCTGGAAGAGCAGCCAGTGCTCTTAACCGTTGAGCCATCTCTCCAGCCCGGTCCTACCCCTCTTAAAGCTTAATTTGCTCCTAAACATTGTATACTTACACAGAAAGAAGAAAGGTAATTTGAACACGAAGAAAAAAAGATGCAATTAACAAACTACTTCAGATGCCCAAGACCCAGTGAAGAAATAAAAGTATCATGAAAAACCAATATAGTATATTGCTATACCCAAAGTTACTAATCCCGTAGTAATGAACCCCAATAAGAATAACTCTACAGAGTGAGTGCCATGACAGCTAAGGCTGTTAAACAGAGAAACCTTGTCTTGAAAAACCAGAGAGAGAGAGAGAGAGAATTGCTAAAGAAAAACTTAATTGAAATAAAAAACCCAATAACCCAAATAAAACCCTCAGTGAAGCTGGGCATGGTGGTGCACACCTCCAGCACTTGGGAGGCAGAAGCAGGCAGAGCTCTTATGAGTTCAAAGCCAAGTTGATCAAAGTAAGTCCTAGGCAAACAAACAAACAAACAAAACCCTCAGTTCAAAGCTCAAGAGTGGATAATGTAGAAAAAAATATCAGGGCTGGCTGGATGACAAGGTAAAGAAATCACATCGAAAATGTCAATAATAAGGTTATACACATCCATGAACAGAACACGAGAGTGCTTTGGAACATTATGAAAAGACCTACCCTCAGATTATGGGCACAGAAGAAGGAGAAGAACACCATCTCTAAGAGATAGACTATATTTTTTGTAAAATCATAGAAGAAAAATGTTCACAGCTAGAGAAAGAGGTGCCCACCTAGGTACAAGAGGCCTATAGAAATCCAAATAGAAGACCAGAAAATACAGTTCCCACAGCATATTGTGCTTAAAACATTAAAAACACAGAAGTAAAAAAGGATATTGAAAGTTGAAAGAGAGAAAGGCAGGCCCACCAGAACAACACCTAGGTTGTTGTTTTGTCGTTTTGTGTTTCTGGACAAGGTTTCTCCATGTAGCCCTGGTTGTCCTGGAACTCCCTCTGTAGATCAGGATGGACTTAAACTCAGAGATCCATCTGCCGGAGTCCTGGGATTAAAGGTGTACACCATGACTGCCTAGATATAACACCTGGTTTTGGGGCAGAACTTTTAAAGCCAGAAGGATGTGGAAAGATTTATTCCGTGTTCTGCAAGAGCACAACTGTAAACACAGGCAAAATTTCCATCAAAATTGAAGAAAAAAATTTCTCAATAAAAACAGATTAAAGGGGCTAGATGGGTCAGTGGTTAAGAGTACTGGCTGTTCTTCTAAAGGACCTAGATTTGATTCCCTGCACCCACATGGTGGCTCACAACCATCTGTAACTCCAGTTCCAGGGAATCTGATGCTTCCTTCTGGCCTCTGCAGGCACCAGGCACATGTGTGATACACAAACACGCATGTAGGCAAAACACCCATATATATATATATATATAAAATAAAAGTTTAAAAAGTAAACTAAAGGGCTGGAGAGATGGCTCAGCAATTAAGCACTGGCTGTTCTTCCAGAGGTCCTGAGTTCAATTCCCAGCAACCACATGGTGGCTCTCAACCATCCGCAATGAGATCTGGTGCCCTCTTCTGGCCTGCAGGCATGAAGGTAAGCAGAAAACTGTATACATAATAAATAAATAAATCTTTAAAAAAAAAAAAAAGATAAACTAAAAGAATTTATGACCACTAAACAATCCCTACAGAGGATACTGGAAAGATTACTTCTGTGTGAAGAGAAGAATAAACACACCCAAGAAGTTACAGGAAATAAACAACGCAGGACAGGTAAGCAAAAGAGGTCTAGGAAAATAACCACAGAATCAACAAAATGACCGGAATGCATATCTTCCAACAACTCTTAATATTAATGGATTTAATTCCTCAATAAAAAGACACAGACTAGCAAATTGAATTAGAAAACAAGATCTATCTTTTTGCTGCCTCCAAGAAACACACCTCACTCCCACATGTGGTGACACATGCTTTTAATCCCTTTAAACTCAGGAGGCAGACAGAGGTGGATCTCTGAGGCCAGTCTGGTCTACAGAGTGAGTTCCAGGATAATCAGGGCTAAGAAACCCTGTCTTGAAAAACAAACAAACAAACAAACAAACAAAAGAAATAAAGAAAAGAAAAGAAACACATCCCACTGTCAGTCAGTCATAGATACTATCACAGGGTAAAAGGATGGAAAAGGTATTCCAAGCAAATGGAACCAAGAAACAAACAGGCATTGTTATTCTACTGTCTGACAAAACAGACTTCAAAACAAAACTAATCAGAAGAGATAAGGAAGGCCACTTCATACTCTTTAAAGGAACACTCCACCAAGAGGACATCACTATTCTAAACACATATGGACCAAACCCAACTTCACTAAAAAATATAATGTTATGAGCCTGGAGAGATGGCTTAGTGGTTAAGAGCACAGACTGCTCTTCCTGAGGATCTGAGTTCTATTCCCAGCACCTATATCATCAGATGGCTTACAAATGCTCACCTCAGACCTCTGTGGGCACTTACATTCATGTGCACATACCCACACACATACACGTAATTAAAATAATAAAAATAAATCTTTAAAGATTTTATATATAATACTAGAACTAAAACTACAGATTAACCCAAATACAGTGACAATGAGTGACTTTAATACCCACTGTCACTCATAGGTAGGCCATCTAGACAGAAACTAAACAGAAAAACATAAGAGTTAAATGGTATTCTTTTTTTTTTTCAAGACAGGGTTTTGCTGTGGGATGTTCTGTATGTCAAATGTGTTGCTGATTGGTCAATAAATAAATCACTGATTGGTCAGTGGCCAGGCAGGAAGTATAGGCGGGACAAGGAGGAGAATAAAGCTGGGAAGTGGAAGGCTGAGTCAGAGAGACACTGCCAGCCGCCATGATGACAAGCAGCATGTGAAGATGCTGGTAAGCCACAAGCCATGTGGCAAGGTATGGATTAATGGAAATGGATTAATTTAAGCTGTAAGGACAGTTAGCAAGAAGCCTGCCACGGCCATACAGTTTGTAATCAATATAAGTCTCTGTGTTTACTTGGTCGGGTTTGAGCGGCTGCGGGACTGGCAGGTGAGAGAGATTTGTCCTGACTGTGAGCCAGGCAGGAAAACTCTAGCTGCAGGGTTTCTCTGTGTAACTTTGCGCCTTTCCTGGAACTCACTTGATCTCGAACTCACAGAGATCCACCTGGCTCTGCCTCCCGAGTGCTGGGATTAAAGGTGTGCGCCACCACCACCCGTCATTAAATGGTATTCTAAATCAAACAAACTTAATTGTCTGTTTTAGGGTTTCTATTGCTATCAAGAGACACCAGGACCATGGCAACTCTCATAAAGGAAAACATTTCATTGAGGTGGTGGCTTACAGTTTCAGACGTTTAGTCTGTTATCCTCATGGCAGGGAGCATGGCAGATGGGAGTATGGTTGTGAGCAGGCAGACATGGTGTTGGCTACATCTTGATCAGAAGGCAACAGGAAGTGGTCTGTCTCACTGGGTGTAGCTTGAGCATATATGAGACCCCAAACCCACCTCCACAGTGACATGCTTCCTCTAATAAGGCCACACCTCCCATTAGTGCCATTCCCCTTTGGGGCTATTTTCTTTCAAAACCACTATACTGTCCTACTAGTTTTACGTCAACTTGATACAGTTGAAGTCATTTAAGAGGGGGGAATCTCAATTGAGAAAATGCCTCCATAAGATTGGGCTGTAGGCAGACAAGCCTATAAGGCACTTCCTTAATTAGTGACTGATGGGAGAAGGCCAAGCCCATTGTGAGCAGGAATAGCTCTGGATTGGTGGTCCTGAGTCCTATAAGAAAGCAGGTTGAGCAAGTCATGAAGAGCAAGTCAGTAACTACCACTCTGTGGCCTCTGTTTCAGTTCCTGCCTCCAGGTTCCTGCCCTATTTGAGTTCCTGCCCAGACTGCCTTGGATGATGAACTGTGACGTGGAAGAGTCAGCAAAATAAACCCTTTCCTCTCCAAGTTGCTTTTGGTCATGGTGTTTCCTCACAGCAATAGAAACACTAACTAAGACACTAACACATCTACAAACCATTCTACTAAAATATCAAATAATGCACATTCTTCTCAGCAGTCCATGGAACTTTCTCCAAAATTAATCATGTATTAGGATACAAAGCAAGTCCCAACCAATGTAGAAAACTAAAATATCATCCTTCACCCTATTGAACCACAGTGGACTAAAGGTAGACATCAACAGCAATAGAAATTACAGAAAGTGCTGGGCAGTAGTGACACACACCTTTAATCCCAGCACTCGGGAGGCAGAGCCAGATGGATCTCTATGAGTTCGAGGCCAGCCTGGTCTACAGATCGAGATCCAGGACTGTGGTATTGTGTTTCCCAAAATATTGTGTACCTTAATAAACTTATCTGGGGTCAGAGAACAGAAAAGCCACTAGTTAGGCAGTGATAGCACACGCCTTTAATTCTAGCATTCCAGAGGCAGAAATCCATGAGTTCAAGGATACAGACAGGCATGGTGACTCATCACGCCTTTAATCCCCGAAAGCAAGCCTTTAATCCCAGGGAGTGGTGGTAGAAAGCAGAAAGGTATATAAGGCGTGAGGACCAGAAACTAGCAGCATTTGGCTGGTTAAGCATTTGGCTGGTTAAGCATTTTGTCTGGTTAAGCATTTGGCTGGTTAAGCATTTTGGCTGGTTAAGCTTTTAGGTTTCAAGCACAGTTCAGCTGAGAGCCATTGGGATGAGGACACAAGCTTCCAGTTTGAGGAAACAAGATCAGCTGAGAAGTTGGCCAGGTGAGGTTAGCTGTGGCTTGTTCTGTCTCTCTGCTCTTCCAGTGTTCAACCCAATACCTGGCTCAGGTTTGATTTTATTAATAAGACTCTTTAAGATTCCTGCTACACAGGACAGTCACCAAAACTACACAGAGAAACCCTGTCTTGAAAAACAAACAAACAAACAAAAAACAAAAAACAAAAACAAACAAAAATTACAGAAAGTAACAGATGCATGGAGAGTAAACAACATACCACCAGATGATAACTGGGTCGAGGAAGAAATCAAAGAGGAAATTCAAAAATTCCTAGAATTAAATGGAAATAAAAACAATATACCAAAATCTATGAAACGTAATGAAGGCAGTCCTAAGGGGAAAGTTCTCATCAGAACAATTAATAACTTAATGATGCATCTGAAAGCTTTGGAAAAACAGGAACAAATAGGAGATGGGAAGAGATAATCATATCAGGGGTGAAATTAATGAACTAGAAATTTAAAAATATAAATAATCAAAGAAACAAAAAGTTCTTTAAGACTATTAACACAGTTGTCAATTCTTTAGCTTTATTAATTGAAAGAAAGAGAAAGAAGACTCAGTAAAATTAGAGACATAAAGGAGACATTATAATGATACTGAGGAAATTCAGAGAATTGTAAGGACACACTTTAAAAATTTATATACTATAGTAGGGTACAAATGATCTGATTGGGGAAATGGGAAAAGGGGGCTTTATAGGGAGGAAGGCTAGAAGAAGCAAACACAAAAGGAGGGAGGCTGGTAAATAACAACAAGGATGTCTGAAAAAGTCATAAGCAATCATACTATTAATTACTAAAAAAATTACAATACATATAATTCTGTGTATCAATATACATATATAGTTTAAATGAACTTTGGGGCTGAAAATTACCCCCCAGGAACCAAAGACCACCTGATAAAAACCTCAATACTAGACGAGAAAAGCTCTCTTTTGATCTGTTGGTCAGGATTTTCCAAGGGACTCCCAACACATTACAGACTACTACTAATGTCCTTGGTTACCTACCAAAAGGTGGACGTCCCTATTGCATAAGACACTGTGCGTTCAGAAACAGGGCCAGAGACTCCTTCACTGGAACTGACCTGAACCCCGCCTCCCTGAGGACCAGCTTTCATGGTAACAGAAGGCACCATGTAAGCTTCCAAAGGAGGAAAGCAACTTACAGTCATACCCAGCTAAGACACCTTGAATCACAAGAATGGCCAGTATGACATGATGATATCCTAAATGTGCAGCAGTGGCACATTTACCATGGCAGTAACCAACAGTTCTCTAACTGAACTTAGGACCTACTCAACAAGAGGGAAACCATGCCTGGTACTGGAAACCCAGCCAACAACTCAGTCCTAACGAAGTGATGGATCTTGGAAGAGAACCTACAGCTACCACTTGACTAGACCAGCATAATCCCTACTAACATTCTAAACATTTATCTTTATATCCACAGATAAGTGTGGTCCTTACCCTTCATCAAGGAAACTTCTCTTTGCAACAGATGGAGACCATTACAGAAAACCACCACCAGTCAAAATGCAGAATTGTGGAGCGCAGTCCCAGTGGATATGTCTACAAAACATTCCCAAAATAAGGCTCAGGAAACATTGTGGGAGAGGGGGTGGAAAGTTGTAAGAGCCAGAAGACCAAGGAGTTTTCTGTAAGAGCGCGTCTCCTACTAATGTCAGATGCTACACTCATAAAGTCCCATCAACATGACTACCTAAGCATGAGCTGAACAAGGAGGATACCAAAGACACGGCAAAGTGGATTGAGCCTACAAGGCCTCAATATTCATATCCATACATATACACATATATATGCATGTAATAACAATAAGAAAAAGGCCATAAATATGAAAGAAAGCAAGGAAGAGTACATGGGAGGGCTTGGAGAGAGGAAATAGAAGAGAGAAGTGATGTAATTATAATTTCAAAAATAAAAAAATATAATTTCCTACCAAGCTAGAAAATCTAAAAGAAATCAATGGATTTCTAGATTCATATGATCTACCAAAGTTAAACCAGGATGAAGTAAAATAATTTAAATACACACATAACAACCAATGAGATAGGAGAAGTGACTTAAAAAAAATCTCTGAACTAATAAAAGCTTAGGGCCAGATGGACTTAGCACAAAATCCTTTAAGACTTTCAAAGAACCAACATCAATACTCCTCAAATCAGTATCTAAAATAAAAAAGGAAGGAATACTTCCAAATTATTTTTATGAAGTCAGTATTATCATGATATCCAAACCAGATAAAACTCAACAGAAAAAGAATAGTAAGGGTCAATCTCCCAGATGAACAAAGAGGCAAAAATTCTCAATAAAACACTTGGAAACTGAATTTAAGAAAATATCAAAAAGACCGTCCACTACTATGAAGTGAACTTCATCCCAGAGATGTGGAGATGGCTCAACATACTTAAATCAATAAATATCACTTACCACATGAATAGACTCAAAGACAGAAACCACATGATCATTTTGTTAAATATAGAAAAAGCCTATGACAATATTTAATATCACTTTATGATAAAAGTCCTGGAGATTTTAGGAACACAGGGACATACTTAAATATAATAAAAGCATTCTACAGCAAGCAAGCTCACAGCAACATCATGCTAAATGCAGAAAAACTCAAAGCATTTACACTAAAATTAAGAACAAGATAAAGATGTCTACTTCCTCCACTCCTGTTCAATATAGTGCTTGGAGTCTTAGTTGGATATATATATATATATGAGAGAGAGACAGACAGACAGATGGACGGAGGGAAGGAGGGAACAAATAGAAAAGCAAAAGGTAAAATATTTAAAGTACCCTTATTTGCATATGATGCGATTCTATATACAAAAGGCTCTAAAGACTCCACTCTACAGCCGGTAAGCATATTTCACAAAGTAGCAGGGTACAAAATGGACACACAAAAATTAACACCCTTCCTATATCCCAACAACAAACCTACTGAGAAAGAAATCAGGGGGAAAAATCCCATTCACCATTGCCTCAAAAAGTATTGGGATAAATTTAACCAAGGAAGTGAAAAACTCATACAATAAAAACTTTAAGACACCAAAGAAAGAAATTGAAGACAAAATTGAAGACAATATCAGAATATGGAGAGAATATCTGTACTCATGGATCCATCTGATTAATATTGTGAAAATGCTATCATGCCAAAAGCAATTTATAGATTCAGCGCAACCCCCATATCCTCAAAATTCTAACATAATTCTTCACAGAAGTTGAAAAAAAAAAACCTTAAATTTTGAAGGAAAATTTGAAAGATCAAGGAGAGACAAAACAATCATGAATGATAAAAGAATGATTGGCTGATTTCAAGTTATAAAATAAAATAGCAATAAAACCAGCATGGTACTAGAGTGCAATAGACACATTAATCAATGGAAAAGAATTGAGAACCCAGACATGCTTTTATCTGGGTTATAGATATACTATGCTTCTACAGTCACTTGATGCTTTTATAAAGATGGAAAAATTGGAGAAAAACCAGCTTCTTCAACAATGGTACTGACCAAACTGGATAGGAACATGTAGAAAAATGAAACTAGATCCTTAGGGCTCACCTACACAAAGTACTGAATTGAGAACCTCAGCATAGGGCCTGAAACCCCAAATCTGATAGAGGAGGACATAGGGAGTCAGTTCAACTTATAGGCACAGGAAAAGACTTTCAGAACAGGACCCCAATATTACAGATGTTAGTACTGACAGCAAAAAAAAAAGGAACCCCAAGAAACTAAAAAGCTCCTCTGTGACAAAGGATGTCACCATTTGAATGTTGAGGTAGTATGCAGAATGGGGAAAATCTTTACCAGCTATGTATCTGACAGAGGCTTGATATTTAGAATATACAAAGAACTTGAAAAACTAAACATCAAGAAGACAACCCAATTAAAAATTGAGCCATGGAACTAAACAGTGAGGAAAGAAAGAAAGAAAGAAAGAAAGAAAGAAAGAAAGAAGAAAGAAAGAAAGAAGGAAGGAAGGAAGGAAGGAAGGAAGGAAGGAAGGAAGGAAGGAAGGAAGGAAGAAAGAAAGAAAGGAAGGAAGAAAGAAGGAAAAAAGGGAGGGAGGGAGGGAGGGAGGAAGGAAGAAAGAAATACAAATGGCTGAGAAATGTTTTTTTTT